ACCTGGCACTTGCTCTTGTTAAATTTCATGTAGTTGATGACCGCCCAGCCCTCTAATTTGTAAAGATCTCTCTGCAAGGCCTCACTCCTTGTCAACAGCTTCTTCCAAGTTAGTGTCATCTGCAAACTTACTTATGCATTTTTGTCCTGCATCCAGATAATTTATAAAAACCCTAAAAAGAACTGGCTCCCAAATGGAGCCCTGGGGAGCGCAAGTAGTGACTGGCCAGATGTAACCCCAATTACTATAAATATGGTGCTGTACTGCATTATGTCACTTTGTTTCCTTCTGTATTTATTTATTTATTTTTTAATTTCTTTCCCCCTTTTTTTGAATTATGGAGACCATTTTACTGTTTGCTAGATTTTCTTGTTTCAACAGTGAACAGCTTCTTACAATTAGTCTTAGAGCAGACATTTTGTGATGTTTCTTCAGTTGAATATTTTTGTTTTCTCATATCTGGTTTGTTTCAGGTGAGGCACTGTTTGCTATTTTCTTCATACTTTTCTGAGAAGTTTGAACTAAAATAACCTGAAAGCTTCCATTTATTCAGACTGCAGGAAAGGATCAAGATGCAGTGCAGCCCTTCCAGACTAAAGCATGCACAATCTATAAGTGAACTGTAGGTTCACATGGACATGACCTGAAGTTGTTTGGTATTTTTAGGGTGGAAAATTTCCACTGAGCTAACCAGATTAGGTCTATAACAATTTCTCTGGCTAGAAAAGTTAAGGGTCCATAAAAGGTTGCAAGCACAGCAGACAAGTTGACCAACAGGCAAATCTTCCAGGGCACGTTCTCTTAGCCTGGAGTAGTAGTAGGCTTTCTAAGTGTGTTTTCTCTGGCAGCCTCTTCACACAAAGACCTGTTGGTTACACCCAGAAAAGAGGTTATATTAAAATTCTTAACTGAAGATATTGGGAGTGTGAGTTATAGAAATTGCACTAAGAATGGAGTTATTGTTGTGGGAGGTATATGGGTTGAGTTGAACAACACCAGAAGGATTTTTTTTTATTATTATTATTATTTTTAATGAATGCTTGTTTACACTTTATGGCACATGTGCAACCCCATATATTTCACAACTTGTTTACAAAATCTTTCTTTTTGTAACTGTTCCTACTTTTTATCTCTGATTGATTCACCTTTTAAAACAAAGCCTATAAAAATGTGGTAGATATATCAGTAATGGTCAAATAGGTAATCATCAAGTAAATCAGCAATCCCTCCTTGAACGCCTATTTTCTAAGCCTTTGGTAAGGGAACCTATCGCTGTGCTTACATGGAGACTTACAACATGACATGACTTGACTGAGACATGTCCAGCCTATGTTAATCTAGGTGTCCCTGACTTTAAACAACTGGTCAGATTGAAAGTCGTTTTCAGAGTGTAATGGTTTGTTACTGTTTCTGGTGACTTTGACAGTGTGGGCTACAAATCTTTTTCATCAAGGACCCTGAAGTGTACTGTAAGTATACTGTATTTTCCAAGGCTCAGGGCCATTTCTTTGAAGGGAAACCCCAACATTAGCAAGGTGAAAATAGACACATTTGATCAGGCTTAATGAAGCAAAATGACACATTTTTCTAGAGGGAGAAGGGCTTCAGTATATGAGTCTTGAAAGATTCACATGTGAATCTCTTTACCCTGTGCGGCTTGTAAAAACACTTCTTCAAAGCACTTATCCAAAAGGAGGTTTTAAAAATCACCATGACTGTGCCTGTACTGGGACAGGGGAAGGGTATGGAGCCCCTGCTAGGATGTTGGTTGTGTGTGCGGTGGGAAGGGCCATGCAGGAGTTTTTTCTCCTCAGAAGAAGCTGCCCTTTGTTCTGTGAGGACTTTGCTGCTAGCGAGGGGTCAGCAAAGGTGAGCTTCTCCAGGTGGATGAAGGCACTTACAGAGCAAGAGAGTAACAGGACCAGGATGATCATAAGCAGCATCAACAAGGTGTGATGCTAGTTCTAGATCCACAGCAGTATCCTGTTCATGTAGAGTTTATTGTTTATAAACCTATTCGTGTTTCAGCATCGCAATTACTAATTGCTATAACACAAGCTTGAAGATGCTTCCTGTGTCCTGAGGTTTAATAAACACAGCAGCTGTTAGCCTGAGAACGCATTTAACTCAGGATAGAATTACAGCAACTCGATGTACTAAAGTTTATAGTATAATAAGGGATATTCTTCTAAAATACTGTGTAATTTGGCAGGCAGTATGAGTGAACCATTGTGGTTTATCTTGGCCTGGGCTTCTTAGAGTTGCATGATGATCCTTGGATTTCTAAAATACGGAGTAATCCCAGAGCATTCTGAACTGGAAAGGATCCATAAGAAACCAAGAGGCTGTATCATGCTGCCATGGTGCATTATTCAGGTGGGGAGGGCTTCCCTCCTGGAGTTCTACCAGCACCCGATCCACACACAGTGCAAAAAGTTGTATTAGGGTATTTTAGTGAGTGATTTTATTTAGTGAGTGATTTTATTTTATTATTTTAGTGAGTGATTTTATAGGGAAATTCAGCTCAGAGATGGTGAGGATTGAGGAGATTTTTCTTTGCACTTAACCAACAGTAGATCAGCTGGCTTGTATAAGCTCGTTAAGAGATCCAATAATCAGCTTACTCTGATGCAGAGGGGAGTTAGTTATATTTTTGTTTTGTTTACCTCAGAAATTCAAATATGCTATCACTCAGTTCAGGATGAGTAATATCAGGTTTGTCAGCAAATCCTTTGAAATACTTCTCAAGCTCATACATCATTAAAGAGAGGGAAATAAACTGGCTCAAGTTATACTGAGTAATTCCGTAATGGATGCTGAGAAACTGACTCCATGCATGAGAAGCCTGCTGAACAGGAGAAGCCTAAGGTAAGTGGGGCATCTACTGGTGAGACACTGCAATGAACTAACCTACTGTGTGAATGTCTGATCCAAAACCTTTACAGGCTGTTCTGTGTTCATTTTGCTTTGCCAGATAAGCAAGTGCCAGGCCTGCCTGCTGTGCTCTTTTGCCAAAATCATACAGCTTCTCCTTGAGTAAATCCTTACTTTACTGGCACTCCTTTAGAGATGTCTGCCACATACATTGTAAGAGTAGTTGTGAATACAGTTAGAAGAAGAAAAGAAGTGAGCTAATGAAACTTTTCAAAAGATGTAATGTAAGTCTCTAAGCATCTCCAACCATCCCCCATCCCAATCTGTCACTGCAGAGTCTCTGTCTGTTAGATTATAAAGCTTTCTTCCTTGTACCAGGAGATACTTTGATACCCTGGTCTGCTGCCCAAGGGTGTGAAAACCCATATGGAGCATAAGAAAATGCAAGAATACTATAGGGAGATAAAATCCAGATCAACCAAGCACAGGTTGTTATCCACACCACCCAATATGCCTTCCTCCATTGTTCAGAAAATGTTATATGCAACAGCATGATATTATCATAGAATCATAGAATCATAGAATATCCTGAGTTGGAAGGGACCCTTAAGGATCATCAAGTCCAACTCTTGACACCGCACAGGTCTACCCAAAAGTTCAGACCATGAACACAGTGTTAAATACCCCTTAATGACTTCTGCAGAAGTCATTTTAAAATGTTCCATTTTTATTTAACATGCAACATTTTGGGCCAGGTGGAGGGTGTCATCTTCAGACTGACATGTTTATAGCTATAAAATTCTATGTTGCATCCCATTGTGCACATGAGACATTGGTTTGGAGGGAACTCAAGTGGGCTTGCCCAGTCATGTCGTGTCATTAATTTAATTTATTTAACATTTTAAATTCAAACAGTCAGCATGTGAAAAGTTTGCTTCTTTGTACCGAGAGCATGCAGGTGCATTGCAAAAAGGAAACATGAACAAATAAGCAGCAGAATAATACTAAATTATGAAAGAATTTGATCATGCTGTTAAATTACCTTGCTTATGTTGCCTTTGTAGATATACCACCTTTACTTATCCAGTAAAGTGACATCTTCTTTTAAGCCAACTTTAAATTCTTTTGTCTTTCTAGACCCACAGTCACAAGTTGAAATACAAAAGCACCCTTACTTCTGCTCTGCTGCACAGCACACATTTGCTATATTTAGCTGTGCCGAGGAATCAATTGCTTTATATAATCTCATCACAAGCCATTGTTGAAAAAGCATCCAAGTCTGTCACTTGACCTTGGGGAAAACACTGGTCTTTGTGTTTTCTTCAGGGCTTCTTCTGCCACGTATGTTCGAAGAATCTGTAACCAAGAAGTGCTTTCAGCCATTCTTGTCCAAAAGTCAGTGGAGTAAGCAAAAGTCATCTTACTCCAGTACTTAGATCTTTGCTTAGTTAAACCTTCCCTTTCTGCAAACTGGCTTTTTTTTTTTTTCCTCTCCTGATTCTTTAGCATGTTCTGTGGTTCATTTCATTTGAAATTTGGCACAGCAGAAACAATTCCAGTTTTATTTTGTTTATTCTTTGCAATACTAATTTTCTTTTATTTAGCCCTTATTTGCAGAAGCAAACAAGAAAAAGCATTGTGATTGAAAGCTGCAAAACACTTTGATCTCCACACAAAGTGTGTTAGATCACTGTTTAATCTGTCCCTTGCTTTTCTTTTTATCCAGACACCAGATAATATCTGATTCCTACTCCTAAAAAGAGAATTTCTTCTGGCTCAGGAGTTCCACAGCTACAAATTGTTTAAGGCTGGGAAAAGTCTTTAGAGAACTATAACGGTACGTTCACTCTGTTCCTTGCACACTGACCAATGTACACCTCGGACAGTGGGGTTAGATAGACCTGCCCTTATGGCTGCTGTTTTAAGTGTGCGTGCACTGGGTAACAGGGAACAGGGAAGTCCCAGCAGAAATGACAAATAAAAAATAACTGAGCAACAATCTGTATGTTAATCTTAAGGTGTCTCAAACCTGTGGTTACTGAGGAGTAAAATCAAGGCATCTCTTTCTAAGAAAGCAGAAACATTTAATTTGTTTCCTAAACTGCTTTTCCAGAGCTTATGTTCAAGGGAAGCTGTTGATGGCCAAACGGTAGCATTTTCATTATTTTATAATTAACTCTAAGAACTTAGATGCTTAGCATGTCCATTTACTACCTTCTTTACAGAAAATGATCTATAATTAGTTGCTGAAGTTGAGTGGATGGTATGGAAGAACAGCACGGTTTATAGAGCATGGCTGTGGCTGACTGTACCTGGTGTTTCAGGCACAGTATTGGTGTGAGAGCACCCATACTAAGAGCATGGGGAGCAGTGGTTCAGAAGGTCTGGTGCTGTAGTCAGTGTGAGCTTTCTAGTTGGACTTCAAATGCTTTGATTAGCAAAGTTAATTAAGTCTGTACAGTGCTACTCTGAAGTATAGGCAATTATCAGTAGGCTTTTAAATAAAGTTACCTATTGCTCTCACAGAGCTAATTGAACAGAAGTCAGTGCTTCAAATCAGGATAGCCCTTTATCACATATTCTTAAATTCAGTCCTGGGTGCATTTTATATAAGATGGTTCTATGTCTACCTCTCCTAAAGGGTCTCCACCCAGGCTCTGGCACCTCCAAAAGCTCTGAGTCTCTGGCAAGATGCTTAGCCAAGTGTGGATTTGTTCAGAGCTGTATCCAGAGACACCATCTAGATAAATTCACTGTATATGGTATCTTCAATACATTTCTTTATCCTATTAACTTTCACAGTTTTTAGTGACTCTGAAGTTTTCTAAAATAGTACTTTAAAAGAAAAAAAATACCACCCCCCCAGTAACTCCGCCAACCCAGTGCACACTTCCTGTTCTATGGTCTGTAGTATGTTTGTGTGGGAATGGTATCTATTTACTCTACGTTATTGAACATCTTTGGAAGTTTATTTACTCACCAAAACCTTCTTTAAAAACAGGAGACTCTAAAGCACTGCTCCAAGGGCCCACACAGATGTAGGAAAGTACAGCAGCTTTTCTGAGGACTTTTAAATAAATAAACTTTCAGGAAGCCTGACTCAGCACTAAAGCCACCGAATTCTTACTGTCACTGATTTTAGTAAGACATAGATTAAGCCTTTAGTCTTAATTATCCTCTTTTATGACATTAAACATTGAAATTTTGTTGTTCAGTCCTACTGAGCCTTCCTGAAGTTTTATTGCTTCCAGCAATGATAAACTCAGTCAATGATCTATAAAATGTGGGGTCAGTAGTTTCATTGACATAATGAAGCAATCTTTTTGGCAATTAAATTAGAACTCTGCCATATATCATACAATTTTATGTCTATTAAAAATAATAGAAGGAAAACAGGTCTGTTTGCAGTCTCTAGAGTCCAACAACATGAACTTGGCCTATGTTTGCCCTCTTGTCATCTACCCAGATGCTCTAGGTTTCTCAGTTTTGTATTTATAGTAGTTGACAGATTTGTGAGATTTTAAAAAATATTTTTGATGCATTTCTGACAGACAATGTACTGTAGCAGTTATTAGGTATATTTTGATAGGCGTATATTTTGATACAATATCCTTTGCTGGAACATGTAAACCTAGGAGCACAGACTTTGTTGTTAATACAGAATCTGCTTTTTCAGCTTAGCAGTGCTACGCCTTTATGATGGTTAAGAAATTTCTTGTGTGTTAATCTGGCATCTGTATTATTTCTCCTCACTCGGAATACAGAAGATAAACTGGGTCAGAAATGCAAAATTGCATGGAATGTCAATAACACTTGCTGTGCTATTAATAAAAATTGGTAATTTAAATAAAATTTTAGGTAAAAATTACATTTTTCATTACATGACAAAGAAAGCAAGCTTTTCCAAAGTTCATTCTTTAAAAAATTGTCTAGCACAGTGACATGGCTCTAGGTGCTAAACTGAAGCAGAAAGACTAAAGGAAGAGAGCCTTGGAAGATATTACTGTCTCCTTTGCATCTTAAAAAGGCAGGAAAGTAGCAGAAACATTTTATTTTGTGAGTCTACAAGCCACTAACATTCTTGTATTCCTGTATTTTTCTCCTTTTGTATTCCTGTATTTTTCTCCTTGTGTGTTGGTTGGTTCTGGAATGGATTATTCCATTGAGGCATTTCAGGAGCTTTCAGTAGAAGAAAGATGCACATCCAACAGAAATTAGTAAAAATATACTCAAGCAATTCTATGAGTGTAATCATACTGGCACCACAAAACAATCCAAGCTGGCCACCTACATCAGCTGTAATAGAAAGAAATAAACATACGTCATACTAAGTATTTGGTTTAGTCTAGCAAGCAAACAAAACTCTGCTAGTACTCAAGCACTAAATAAATTCAAAAGGCATAATCCATCACTTTAAGAAAACAGAATTAATATTCTTCAGAATATTTGTGGGAAAAAGATGAATCTGTTTATTAAAATTCTAAATAAAGCAAGTACAACACAAAACTTCCTACGGTGGAATATGTGCTTAAAACATCTCCTGCTTCTTTTTCTGTTAAGCTATTCTCTTGCCTCTCCTCCCTATGTTTTCCCTCTCCCCTTTAAATCCCAGAAGCTTCCCTATGCTTACAGTTCAGTATGTTGTGTAGCCATAAATTAGTGCAGAATTTAATTACTACTTTCCACTGCAGGTCATTTAATGGTATGGCAGGAGACCATATCAAAAATGAGCATGAAGCAAACATGATCATTACCATTGTACTATCAAAGCCATTGCTTTTTGTTTATAAACCCAGATAGCCTATGACTTTGGAGAGGAGAAAATAATATCTATTTTTATATATTTATTATTATTATTTTAGATTAAATATTGATGAGCAATAAATAAACGTCACGCATTCACTTACCAAGCAACTCAGATACAGACAAGGCCTTCTGCTGCTGAGTTATTTTGTAGCTCAGATCATGGTACTTAATGTCAATAAGCACAAGGTTCTGCCTGATGACAAGCACATACAATATTACATGACACAGCCAGGAGTGCTGTTCATTTTTACCAACATCCATCAGAACTGCCTACATGGAGAGTGATGTATCTTTTAAAGAGCAATCCACCAAGAGGTATAAAAATTAGTTAGATGACTGAAAAACAATGTTTTATAATACTGAAAGTTATAAAAGGATCTCATTGGAGGAGTTGATCTCCAGACTATGTTAAAAGAACAACTCAGCACTACTGAGATAAAATCCTAAAGGGTCACAGAGATAAGCTTAAGTGGAAGTGCCAAGCATCCTGAACTACAACAGATACACTGCTTGGAAATGTAGTCTAATATAGCCTGTCGTTTATGTGCAAATGCAGATTTAATCCTGATGATCTCAGTGACAGTGTTTGTGCAGAAAAGCCCTTGTCCTATACTCAGATGCTTAGTTCTTCCCTCTGCTAAAAGCTTCTCTTACTTGTCTGCTGCAAAAGTGGAAGAGCAGGCAAATCTTTGGTGGAGCAGGATCTGGAATGATTCAGCGAGAATAAAGAGCTCATCTTTGTGATATCGTGACTACTGAAAGAGTCAGCGTAGCTGCTAAATAGAAGATAAACATAACAGTAGAGGAATAAAACAGACACAAAAACTGATTGCATAAATAATGTCATATCCTTTAAGAATAAAAGTAGTGTTTATTATTCAGAAGTGTAAACAGCTACAGATTTTGAGGTTGAAAATGATAATGAGTTTATTAATTTGATATTCACTGAAAATGCAGTATTGGTTATATAAAATGACTTCCATTTCTTTAGGTGATAATTCTAAAATGTAGGTAACATTGGGTAATAAAGGTAATCCTACTTTCATGGATTTTTACTGTAAGACCTCCTACAATTGTCATAGGGTTCCTAGTAGTTCTACCCAGTAAGGTAGTAAATAGTTAACTTTTCCCTTCTTAAATTTTCAGAAATTAATCAGTGTCTGTGTTTTACAGTTCAGAATATGTACTTTTTAAAACGTGGGCAGGATTCCTATTGGTTAAGGCTTGGTAACAGGAGAATGTTCTGTATTTTCTCTTGCCTAATTAAATAATTGCTGGGCTGTGCATGATGTTTACATACGATAAAATAATCAACAAAGATAAAATGTTCTCAAAGGATTATTATCTTTTACATATAATAATAGGTTTAATTTTCATAATACTCATATAGTTCCTGTTCATATATAAATATATGGAAGCATTTGCAGACTGATGGCTTCAAGAGTGAGAAAACTGAAGTCACTGAAACAATGAAATACTCAGAGATATTTCATTAGCCAGATTTTCTACGGTTCTTTGTAAATATATTTGAATCCATGAATATTATTGGTTCATGTAGCATTTGTGTTAATACTTATGTGCACAAGTTAACATCTACCTCTGTGAGTATGAGGTAATTTGGACTACAAAACTGTATTGAAACTTCTCTTCGAGAAGTATCTTTCTAGCAGAAAATTATGGAAATCATTCTATTGGGTATTTAATGCATGCATTTTCAAGGAAATTCAGTATCAATTTATTATACTGTAAGCATGAGGTATGTATGCTTTATTAAATCATAAGTATATATGATAATTCTTCCATGAACTTAAAGGTATTCAGATCATGTTATCTCAGTGCTACTACTGAACAACACAGCTATGTGCATAACTTAATTTCTAACATAATTTACCAGATAAAATGTGCAGTCAGTACCATAGAGACATATTTTTACACTAGAAGGTCTCTTCTTTGGGTATAGTTCTACTTTGTTGTTGTTGTTTGGTAGGTAACATTTTCAGTCACACAGATAGAACCATCTTATTTTGCTACCTTATGAGAATATTTCACAGAATCACAGAATTTCTAGGTTGGAAGAGACCTCAAGATCATCGAGTTCAACCTCTGACCTAACGCTAACAGTTCCCACTAAACCATATTCCTAAGCTCTACATCTAAACGTCTTTTAAAGACTTCCAGGGATGGTGACTCCACCACCTCCCTGGGCAGCCCATTCCAGTGTCTAACAACCCTTTCAGTAAAGAAGTTCTTCCTAACATCTAACCTAAAACTCCCGTGGCACAACTTAAGCCCATTCCCCCTCATCCTGTCACCAGGCACGTGGGAGAACAGGCCAACCCCAACCTCACTACAGCCTCCTTTAAGGTATCTGTAGAGAGCGATAAGGTCGCCCCTGAGCCTCCTCTTCTCCAGGCTGAACAAGCCCAGCTCCTTCAGCCGCTCCTTGTAGGACTTGTTCTCCAGGCCCCTCACCAGCTTCGTCGCCCTTCTCTGGACCCGCTCAAGCACCTCGATGTCCTTCTTGCAGCGAGGGGCCCAAAACTGAACACAGTACTGGAGGTGCGGCCTCACCAGAGCCGAGTACAGGGGGACGATCACCTCCCTAGCCCTGCTGGCCACACTGCTTCTTATGCAAGCCAGGATGCCGTTGGCCTTCTTGGCCACCTGAGCACACTGCTGGCTCATATTCATCAAATGTTTTCTAAATATATTTTATAATGTAAATGGTATCAATAGATCTTACTAACAATAGAAAAGAATGTTAAACTTGTGACATTTTTGCCACAATAAAACCTAGCTCTCTTTTTGCTAACGCATTGAGAGAAAGAAGGACTTTATCTAACATCTATTTGGGTTATTCACTGACTTCAGTTGTGAAAAATCTGTCTTCTTTGTTGGGTGGATTGCTCATGTGGGTTGTGAATAGGTTTGATAACCCTGCTCTTTCTTTATACCTAATTGCAAAGAGTGATTAAAAATTACACAAAAGGTAGCATAGAACATTACTTTCCAACTGAAGTATAAATTTTATGTTATCCACAGGTTTTAGATGTATCTCAGTATAGTTTAGACCTACATGAACATGTATAAATCCTAAACTAATCTCTTAGACAAGATTGGTCACCTCACAGACAGTATGTTAAATACCACACACTTCAGAGTATATTTTTAAAAGGTCGCATTTACATCATACACTCTGTTCACACACTTAGATATAATGGATTATTTCCTTATTAGACAAAGCGTTAAGCAAGATTACCTGATGTATTCTGGGCTTTTCTTCAGTTTTGCAGAAATGAATTTTATGGCATTTTCTCCTCCAAAACTTGAATAGGTGACAGTGGTAGGATACTCCATTTCTTCACAAGGGGCAGGGCAAGTGGAATTGTGAGTACCTACTGTACACAATCCTTTTATCTCTATATCAGCTGAAATTTCAGGAGAAAGAACTTGCATAATGTTTCTGAAACAGCACACATTGTTAAGACTTTTCTTAACCTTACAAAATGACTTTAATAAAGACTTTGATTAATTTTCCTTAGAAAGGTTGGTACATACTAGTTTGAAGGAAGAAACATGCATTTGAAAAAGGCACTTAGGTAGCTGGAGCACAATATTAAGAGTTGAAATTTTTGGTTTTGATTTGTTCCTCCTTTCCATGCTCCCCTACAGAAATTCAGCACCTTCAAGTCTTTTCACCTTCATTAGGACTTTAGGACCTTACTCTTTCTCATCCATGATTTATCAGTAGGATAGATCATACAGAGGGGTGCCCATGTTCTGTGCTAGCCTTCTGGTTGCATACTTCAGTTTATAATCCTTGGTCTTGATGTTTGCCTAGCTCCCTTCAATGCATAGGAGTAGGTTCCAGAGCAGTGCCAGCAGTAATTTGCTGTCATCTGACAACTTCATAGAAGTTTTGCTAAACTGAGCTCGCTTAACCCCCCTTCCCAGCTGATGGAGATCCTTCTGTTTCCTCAAATACTAAACAGATATCACAAAATTCTGCAGGTGTGGCTGCTCTGGGAGGCCATTGTTCTGACAAGGCTCTAACAGAAAGAAATCACTGAGGGAATCTGGAAAAGCTGCGGAAAATCAATGTAGGAAAAAAAAAAAAGGTAAGGCATAAATACTTCCTGAAGCATAAGCTGTAACCTAAAGGCCTCTACTCTGAGGTGAGTACTGTAATCTCCTGCCTGTGGTGCTCTGTTTGTCTTGGTATGGTGGCAGCTGCTGTGCCTTCCCTTTGCATGTGGGCTTCTCATGTTTGCATGCATGTTTGGACAGGAAGTATCTCAGCCTGTTAGGTGACAATTTGAAGCACTCTCTTCCTCCAGAAATAAAGTCGGTAATCTACTTGATTTCCTAATTGTCCATTCCTTTGGGAAGAGAGAGTCACATCACATAGCTGAATCCATTACGAATTAAAAAGGAGGCTTTCCAAAACTCATGAAAAGTTACTTCAGATTATCACTCAGTATTTTCCAGGAAGTCTGCTGGAATGACTTAAGAATTTCATATCTACTGTGTGTAGATTATTTGCTCATGAAAAGAATTGTATTTGAAACATTTTGAAAATGTATAATTCACTTCATTTTTATTTTTATCTTTTTAATTATAGAATCTTGAAGTCCAGTGATTTAGTGTTATTTTTTCATTACTTACCAAGCTTTTTATTAGTGTCTGATCTCTATTTTCAGAGTCTTAAATGAACTGGGATGTACTCCATTACTACTTTCAGTATTTTAACTGATATTTTCTACTGTTTGGAATTGGCTTATAATATATGGATATGAAATTAATACTTACAGACTGCAGGATAAACACAATTGTAAAACTTCAGCAAATCACATTCGGTTCCATTGCCTTAAGAATAAACAAGTAACTTTAGAACTTAAATCAACAATCTAGCCCTTAGCTCTATTTGTGTTAAACTGAAAAATAATGTCATCAAAGCCTAGACACCACTTTGTGCTTCTCTTTATACAACTGAGAAAACAATTCAGTAGGGCACAGTGCAGTTATGCCACAAGGGGAACATAGCAATAGAAGACAATAGACCAAACCAAGAGGCTTACTGGAGGACTGAACATTATCATTAGGCGTGCCAGCTAGAACTGCCTTTAAGGCTGTGGTTCGCTCTTTGTATTAGCTTGCTAAGAAATTTCTGTCTTAGTAGTGAAAATACAAAATAGGTAGATGTAATTTATGATTACACCCCACATGTTTCAGCAAAGGTTTTAAACTTCATGGAGGATTACTCAGATACCAACTTGTCTCACAGCCCTGAGGAATAATCTTTTTCAAGATTTTTGGTGTGTATCCTAAAAATAGCTAATGGACAGATGCCAAGTCTAGAGTTGACCAAATATCTTAATGCTTTTCTCTGAATTAAAAAAAAAAAAAATTAAGTAAATTAAATAATCCCAGTTGTAAATATCCCACAAAGATGTAACCTGTCTCCTTTGCCATTCAATAATTAGTTAGTTCTCCTAGAAAGATGATCATTAAATAGAGCATATGGTAGTCCTAAGAAATACCTGGCAGAATGAAAGGCAAACAGCCACACCAGTCCTGTATGTACCGGGCCTTGCATTCTTGCAAACAGCCATTTGTACTATAAGTATTCTGGTACTGAAGCTTTATATCAGGCTTGCACTCTCCCCATGGGTATTCTTGGATAATTGACTGTAAAGTAATAATAACAGAATACATAAATTTCTCTTTTAATTTAGATATCGCTTTATCACATTTTACAGTGCTAAAGGAAGCCTGTTTGAGACATAAGCAGCAATACTGTGATTTAATTGGAGGTGATTACAGTTTTTGCTTTTATAATTAAAATCATCTCTGTTCTCACACAGCAAAACCAGGACCTGATCAGACAGCCTAGTGCAGCGGGGTAGTCTTCTCTGGTTGTATCAGGAAAGGACTATCAGGAATCTGATACAAAATTATCTGTGATATAACATATTGATGCTACTGCCCTATCTTTGTATTGTTATGTCAATGAGACTGTGAGAGGTTAACCTGAGTAAAAGCAGATTAGGCAGACCATTAATATCCTGGAAAAAAAAAAATCAGGCTTGTTGGTGGGTTTTTTATATAGCTGGTGGAAATGTTATTCTTAGGACTCGCTGTGGCATGATAAATATTAAATAACTGCAAACGTTTGTAATTTATTTCCATGTCCTCAAAAGAGATTAGCAATGGTACAAACTAATATTTCCACCTGATGGATAAGGTGCTTACCTTCAGCTGGCGGATTGCAACCTGTGCGTGCATGCCGACTGGTGTTAATAAACCTAAACCATCAAAGCGTGGAACCTCTTTGGGTGAATGGATAACAAAAGTGATGCCAGCATCAGTATAACCAAGGGCAGGATCATCAGTGAATTGCTCCTGATACAAAAAAGTATTGTAAATAGTTTTGGTTTTGCTTATGCTCTGAAGTTTAAGCTATATTTAAAATGGTGCTTTATTATTATTATTATTATTTGGTCTTATTTCCCTTGTTACACCTTCAGCAATTTACAGGAAAATGTAGAAGTAAGCTTACTTGAATTTTCTTCCTTAACTTTGTAGGTTTCCTTCCAGTTACCCTAAATTTTAGTGTGTTTTTTTTTTTTTTTTTTCTTCCTTCTGTCCTCTCCCACTTTCAAAAGCAAGAAAGCGTGGATGAACCTTCTTCATAACTTGGAAATTCACTTCTTTTACTTGCAACTACTCCATGTTTCAGCAAGCTTTCTATTAGTCTCTTGAGAACCTGTCACTCCTCTCCCCTATAGTTGCTGGAGAGCAAAAATGAATGTCTAACTCTTAAAATTCTAGGTTTTAGTTTTCTTCCCTGATCTCATAAGGTGATATTCCCTGAGCTTTCTGTGTTTTGGATTAAAAACAATCCTAGTAAGGTTTTACAGTGCAAAGATCAGATCGTAGCTAACAAGAGACACTTCAGATGCTGCTGAAAAAAAAATCAGTACTACTTAGAAATTGGCATCATGTGACCTTCCCTAGTGGATCTCTTACTGAGATAGAGATGTTATCCTGAATTGTTTGTATAAAATTAATTTTTTTTTCTGATGATACTTTTCAGCTGTAGATGAATCGTGTTGATATATGTATATATGCTCACTTGCAACTTTCTACATCATTTGTTTTGGGGACACAGTCAATAGCTATTCAGAGTTTTTAAACTAGTTTTGGGTCTTTCCTTTAAAATATGCTTTTACTTATGAACAGTCTTGAAAAATAATTTTGTGCATGGAATTCTGAAGGTCTGCGTAAAACAAAAAATCTGCTGATCTATGAATTATTACATGATTTTGTATATAATCATTGGTATATCTGTACCTGTTGGACATCAAAAAGTAAACGTAAGCCTCTTCCAGACAAACTCACACTTCTTGCTGGAAGACCATTGTAATTAAAAGTAAAGCAGTTTCCATATTCAGTGAAAACATGTTCAAAATCCTTCAATAAAGGAAAATAGGGAAGTGTAAAATTAAAAAATAAAATCACTTAAAATTTCATTAATTTCACAATGTAATAGATGGACTAGTGTTTTTTGGTTTAGTCTCCCCCCACCCCCCAAGGCAGTGCAAAGAATAAGGCTAACCTGCAAGAATATGGGACCAATTTTTCTGTCCACGTATTCTATTGAAGTTGGGAGTTGTTGTATGGCAGAACTGAGACACAAATAAGAGGATCATATTTTTTTGTTGCTGCTGCAGGACTAATTACATCAGTTAAGTGCAATGCAACTATGTTGTGCAAAAAAACTCCATTCACACTGACATTGGTTATAGGCCAGTTTATGGGAAAGGTTGCTGAATGAAGCCTGGAGGCATGACAGTTTTCAAAGGCTGCTATTTATGCAGGTGTGGGACTAGGCGGAGAGCAACTTAAACTGAAATTCCATGTTACAGCTCAGGTAGGCCAGCGGGCTGCCTCTGTGGTCACTGGGGTTGCTCCTCAGGGTCATTTAGAGCAGGATGTTTTCTCTCAATTGACCAACTGTGAAGGGAAGGCAGGGGGAGTAGCTGGGAAAACCAGGTGTCTGAAGTTGAGTGGTAAGAATACATCCCCTTCCCCTCCACGCTTCTGATGTAATAAAAGGAAAAATATTTACCTCTGGGTGACATGTCTTTCCAAAGAATTCACATTCTAGCAATGTGCTGTGGTTTAGATAAAACCCATTTTTCCTTGTAAACTCTTTAATGCTGAAGTTCTGGTTTCCAAGAAGAAAATCATTTATCTCTTGAGAAAATTTGTCTTCCATAGAAAATTTCTGGACAACTCCAGACACGAGGTTCCAAAGGAGAAAAATGATTTGGAGATTGCTTACTGCATGAGCTTGAAACCTGTCAGTGCGAAGGAAAAAGAATGGCTTGGAGTTCTGCAGAGTTACAGGACTCATCTCAGTGCTCTCACCAAACCCATGACATGTTTTGTCGCCTGCTCACTAACTGCATGTGATTCTTGACCACCATGCTTGCACTTGCACTATAACATGGGATAAACAATATAGTCTCCATTTCTAGGAAAAGGTTATCTTCCAAACAAGAAATCAGGAAAGGGACCCCTTTCCAGGGTTATTCTAGAAACATTTCTGTTGTGTGTGGTTATTTAATAAATAAAAATTAAAATGGTCATCTGCATAAGCCAGCTGCCAGATTTCTAGAGCTGAAGAAAAGCTGGACAATTGCATTTACATGAGAAAAATACATGTAGCTGGAAGGAGCTGTTCCTTTGGGGCGGGAGGGAGCAAGAAAAAAAAAAAGAAAGCTGTGTTTTCCTGATGTCACTGAAGACCTTTTCTGAATTAAATAAAGGGTTCAGAGAACTGTTAGGGTAAGTTGAATTTCAAAATACTGAAAAGAAAATAAAACCTAAGAAAATGGCAATACCATGTTCTTTAGAATCACTATTTTACATAATCCTATTTTACAAAACATATCAATGTATTTGTACAATGGATCTTAATGCAGAAGCATAAGAAAGATCGGTAAAAACAGCTCTTCAACTGAATTTGAGTCAAAAAATAAAGGCAGAGGTAGAGCTGTGCCTCTTCGTTCCACCAGGAAAGAAAATTGTTGCTAAAAACAGGAGAAAAGGATAAGCATGATGTGAACAACAGATGGATGTAGCAGCGAACTGCCTCATAGGCAGATAACTGCTGTGCTCGGGAGCTGTTTGCTCTCAATGTGTTGCCACTATAGATGCAAGAAGTGAGAGGTTTTTATAATACACACTGTACTCTACCTGCAGTGTACGTTCTACAGAATAACCCAAAATGGCTTTACACGGGGCAATGGGAAGGAAAAATACTGAGGTGGAAAGGCTTCAGCTATCTGGGACCTGGACCTGTGGATGACTCTGCCAACAAGAGGTAGAAGATCTCACAACTTACATTGTTTTCCTGAGAATGCTAAGATTTCTCCATTACTAAAGCAGTTGTTAAATTACATATTTGCTCTAAAAATTAGGCAGTAGTTTTGCTGCATTATTTTCAAAGTGGTTGCATCTGAATCCTGGCCAGTATCTTCAACTGTAGAAAATTGTAGTGATGTTTCTGCTTAGATATGACTTTCAAACTTGCCAAGTGCTTTCCTCCTACAACTCCCACTGACATCAGCTCGAACCATAAAGGCGCTGAGCACCTCTGAGGAAAAATAACTGCTTTGACTAAGGTTTCTACATTTGCATGAGGTTTTGTTCAAACCTCTCTATTTGCAAATGTTGTGTTTTATTTTTAACTTGGGTATGACTGACTGTGCCTTAGTTACGCTATAGAAGGAACACTCGAGGTTTATGATTATACACAGAAGAATATTGCCAGAGATGACTTTATACTCCCCCTTACTTCTTGAATCTTAAAAATCTGTGGTGCAGCTCCTCATTTGATGAAAGGGAAAGGTTAAAGACAACCTCCCTTGAGTCTCATGTTTTTCTCCTCAGTTAAATCTCATGTGGTGGTGTGAAAGAAAGACAGACCCCTTGGAGCCACGTTTTTTTTGGCTTTGTTTTATGTGATTTGTTCAAACAAGTTGTGGATCCCAACTCCTTTATGTTAGCCAGAAAAAGAGGTGTTGCCTCTCAAGAGTGAACAACAAACACAACTTTTACCTGTTCAAGTTGCAAAAAGTCACAGCAGGGAATTTGACGTTTTCCACGTACTGAACTACCACTGTAGTTGTGGTTGGCCAGCTGAAGTAATAGGTAAAGCGACTGCAGATTTGCCAAATGACGATGCTAAGACAGCCTGTGACCACTAACAGCCACAGCCCTCTGCGTGTCCGGCTTCGCCTTCGGACAATATTTTGCACTCCATGAAATGAAGTGGATGAGGCGAACTCCTGGTGATACCTCCTTCTGTCTTCCAAACATGGCTGCAGTTTCTTTATTAAGTACAATCGTATCTTTTCCAATTTTCCTTAATATTGAACAAAATGAAAACATGTTTTTTTAAATTAACATTTAAATGGCACTTTGGAAAGGAAACTAATTCTAGTACTGGAAAGCATCTTTAAGAGCTGTAAATTCTCTCTTTGATTAGTGAGCTTCCTTCTATGAATGGTTTAGGGCCCTGGAAGTCTTGTGTGCTAGATTAACTCTCTTCTCTGCCTGAGAACAGACTATACCTTGCAATATTTTATGTATACATATTCTTAAACATATTAATATTAATGAGGAATTCCACCTCTATGGAAAACATTTTTATTTTTTTCTCTTGACATACCTCATTAATCTAAAACCACAGGATGCTGTGAAACTGTAAAAAGCTAAGCATCTGATTATTACAGTAGCATCCTAATGAACTCCTGGTCCTTCATTCTTGCTCTAAGAAATAAGGTAAAACGGGAATTACATATTTTTCAGGCTTTTACTATTCTGTTATTGAAACTCTGGGCAAAATTTTAAAGGTTACAGGTTCAAAGGGCAATCTATTGTATTCCTTGGGTTTATATGAGTAAACTTTAGGGTATGGCATGTTTTGAAGGATGAACATATACACTTTATCAGACTGATTTACTAGAGTCTGTTACAGTTGGGCAAAGGAATGAAGGGATGTGCAATTCATCTGCTATTGCAATCATGACCACATTAACACTGGGATTTTTTTTTTGTCCTATGTGCAGACTGTGATAATTAAATCCCAGGTGGGTTTTGATTTCAAAGTGTTTCCAAAAGAAAATATATATATATTTAATGCTTCATATGAGAACTTTGATCAGCACTAGTATGATTTACTCTAACTTCTTTTAATCATCAAACAGCTGCTTCTGCTGGAAAACTGATCAGAAGTTTTTCTTCTAGCTCTAGTGACTGTTAGATCCCTTTGGAAAGCTGTGCAGCCATGGGTGCTTTTGTACTTCACATTGTAATAGAGGGAAAATGATTAGGAACTATGTCTTCTGTGCAGACTATAATGTTGGTCCAAGAAGTACAGGTAGAACAAATTTTATAAAACAGATACAGATGCTGGCAACTATTTTCAGGATCTGAAGATGTAATTTTTCTTTAATCATTCATTTTTGGTCTCAGTCTGGTTCTCCTAAAATGAGCAATGGCTTCAGTGACTTAAAATGATTTCGCAATGTCACTAAACAATTATTTCAGTAATGGCTTCTCAGATTCTTTCTGTTGCAAGCTAGATGTTTCTTTCTAACGCCTTTTCTCATTGTTATAATAGAATGGTTATTCCAGGTTTCAAGTAATGAATGGTAAAGTAATACATCTATATAATGTCAATGAGTGCAATCTTATAAATAATTAGCCCTTCATCTTATGCTCTATAAAATTAGCTCATGTGTATATGGGCTAAGGTTGTGTATCCAACACAGTTGAACTAGCTGTGACTAGGTGAGTTAGAGTATCCAAGCTGGTACTAGATAGAAAGTCCTTAGGCATACGTTAGACCTTAGACAATCGGACAATAAGGTCTTGAGAGAGACAACTTCTTTTGGTAGCACTACAAAGTACATTTAGTGCAGGCACTCAGATAAAAAAAAAAAATAATAATTGTCAAATATATGGATAAAAACAATTTCAGAAAAGGATCTAAAGGTTAAAGGATGCATAAAAAAAGAAAATAAATGAGAAAAATCCAGGTTCAGGAGAAAACCACATTTCAGCGTAGGCAAGTATGGAACATGCATCTAAGAACAAGCAGGGTAGACTATACATTCACGATGGGCTGTAGGTGCTTTGCCTCAGAAAACACTGATTGCTGAAGAATCCCCAAGAACTGTGATTTTTTAGTCAGATGAACCTGATTTCCTAGTCCAGTGTTTTTACAGGAGAAATGAGTTCCCTGTATATATAACCCAGGGATATGTGTCCAGGGACATGCTATTTTAAGTTTGCCTAAAAACTTCAGAAATTCACAGTATCTTTACATTCAACTTAGTGTTAACATAAAGAAGGTTTTTTCAACTTCAGTAAGTAGGTAATTGATTACTACTTGTATAGGAAACTGATAGGTAATAATAATAAGTTATTTTGACCCAGTGGGAGAAAAAGATATAAAAGAACTGGAAGCTAAGCTCTTGTACAACAGAAATAAAGTAGAACATTTTTATTTTTACATTCCCAATTGTAAATTGTGATTGGATTTTCATTAATGAACTTGTTAAAAAGGAACAGCTTTGTGAAAGATAGCTCAACTTCAGCCAGAGCTCTTACCTGGAAGGAGTGATTTCAGGAAGGTTACATGTGACTTCTGTCTATGCAAAGGTTAGTTAGTCCAGATAGTTTCAGGATTTCCTTTTTGCCTTAATCTAAAAATCATTAAAGTATGGCATCATTCAGAAAAGTCATTGCCTAGTTAAAGCTCTGTTAGTTTTATTCTAAATGCAGGACAAATAACTAGAGAGTTTCCCTCATGTCCTAAATGTAATACTATCTCTGCAAGCTCTTTTTCATCTCTCCCTTCTTCTTTATATCTTGAAAGATGTACATTACTGCTATTTTTGGACAGGGTTCCAAGAGAAGGGAGACACCTTTTCTTGTTCTGTTTGTCAATCCTGAAAAAAAAAAAAAACTACCAAAATGTAACACTTTTGGTAAGGCACTCTAATATGTCTAAGTTACATACCTTTAGCATCCAATTGAGTGAATCTCCCCAGCTGGTCCATGAGGCTCTGCTTATTTCAGTAAGGAAGGAAAGGATACAGTAAGCTGGCTTATCACTGTGATCATTGCTAGCTAATGGCTTTTATAGAAAACTAAATGGGAGGTGATACTCGATGACACATAGCACTGGGCAATTTACCTGCCGGGGTTGCTATGTTTTGCCTTTAAATAACTTGGTCTGCAAAGTACAAGAGAAGATTAGTTTTATGACAGGATCAGATGTTCAAGTACTTATGATACCAGTAATAATAGAAGTGCAGACTTCTGTCTTGTTGCATCAGCGTGCAAATTATTTTTTTCAGAATTTTTCCTTTTATTTCAGAAAGATCAATCATCTTCACTAAGGTACTGTGCTGTTCAGATCTGAATAAACAATCTTTAAGTAGATAGGAACCCTTTCCCTGGCGGGCAATGAATGTTTGCCACTGGGTTCCCACCAGCTATAGGGTGGAGTTCACCCTTGCTTTGAATAGCTGTCCTCATAACCACCTCTGGATTTTACATTTGTGTGGGCTTTAGCAAGAAATGGGCTGTTATTCCTGAGAATTGACTCCGATGTTGAGGAAGAAAATATGTAGAGAGTTGGTCATTCCATTAACTCCTTATTGAGAAAAACAACAACAACAAAAAAAAAAAAAAAAAAACAAAAAACAAAAAACACAAAAGAGACAAACTGCTTTTCTGGAGGATGTGTGGTATCAGCTTGTTTGAAATTCATTTCAAGAACCGAGCATCTAATTAAATGCAATAGAAAACACTCAAAAGCTCAGACCTGGGATGTACCTGATGAATCATCTAGGAAGATCTAAAAAACTGTCATAGTCCCTCTCTGATTTGCAGGGGGTGGTGATTTTGGGACTGCTTCATCTCTCATTTTTCTCTTAGTAAAGCTCCTAAAGCTAATGCCCACAGTGTCCTTGGGTTTCTAGGTGCACTAGTGCAGCCTCTCGGTACCTCAGTGGCTGGTGGTTCACCAACTGCTTTCTGGCTGTGTTGGTCAAGCAATGAGGTGCAAGATGAAGCACTGAGCTCCATTTAGTCATTCCAGTGTGACAAGCAGATTTCTGTACTTGGCTTCTTGGAAATCCCTCTTCCTTTTGTTACTCTTGCCTCACAGACGAGGCTCTCTGCCAGGGCAAGCTTTGAGCAGCACTTGCATTCATTCAAGCAGTAAAGTACTTAACAATGAACTGTTTTTCAACATCTATATGTAACTCAACCATACCTAATGCACTGCTGAGCAGTTATTTGCAGATCCACTGATTCCTATTAATGCAATACACTCTAATTCACAGTACCCAGACAACGCTTCTATGTCACGTAAAACTTGCTTGAGTTCTTAAAATTATATTGGTCTTTTATACTGCTACGTGCATAGGATTAAAGAGGTACAAACTGTAAATTGCTTTTTACACAGCAAATATGCTTCATCTAACTATCTTAAACATATTTTACAAAGAGTTTGTATTCGGGATGTATTAGATGAACATAGGTTGTGTTCTCTGGTTGTTTTACAAAAGAAATTGAATTTTACAATGTTCTTTCTTTCATGGTTGTTTTACGTTAATTCTTGTGCAAACAGTAGGGGGCGAAGACCAACCATCTTGTATTTGTTCAACTTTCCAAATGGCTTCTAGAAGTAGCTTTCACGTCATAAATTGGTCCCAGGGAGCGTGGTTTGTCCATTCACTCCTTGTGGTGTGTATCTGGTTACCCAAAACACACATTCCCTAATTCTTAATGCAGTAAAGGTTAGGAAAACCAGACAATGACAGAGGTGATCTCAGTTTTCTATATTCACGCATACGGTAAATTCTGTATTTTAAATGTGTTTTGAAGTCAGTTGTCAGTGCTTTTCAATTCCTTCCTTGTGGTTCCAACTTTAAAAAGATGCTGCAGCCAGCATAACTACATAGCTACTTGCTGAGACAAACAGATGAGGTGTTTCAGACAAAGTTCTGTTTTTATGGCCTCGTTGCAAGAAAATGTCTTCTAAAAATACTTACGGGCTGCTGAGAGAAAGTGCATGCATGCATACGTACACACAGACATACATGTTCAGCACATTTAGCCTTTATTGGACTTTTTTCATAAAATGTCAAAATGTTTCCTTTCAACTTCTGTCTCATTGTATGAAGCTCTCTGACTGCTTTATGGACAATAATGCTTTTAAAAATGATTTTCCAGGATCTATTTTCTGCCTCTTTCTGCATGTCTCCCCATCCTCTCTCTCTCTTCTCCCTCCCCCTTCCCCCTTCTTTCAAGAAGTTGCTCAAATATTATTTTCTTTTAAGACAGAAAACGTAAGGCATTTAGTTATATGGAGGGCTGCAAATACTCATACTCATTTTGTACGGAAAATATTAGTAAAAAAGCAAAATGGAGAAGAAGAAAATGAATTGACCACCATTTGGACTTTCATAATATAGTGTCAGTGCAATTTGATGGCAAATGCTGGGACATGTGCGAAATGGTAGCTAACTGTAAATGCAAGTAGGTATGCCAGTGGATTCAGCAATGGGGAGTGGGCTGTAAGAAAGATGGCTTGAAGAGACTTTAAAGACTCATTGGGCCTATCTCTATCCATCAGTGCAGAAGCAGCTATGCAAGAAGAAATTATAAGCTCTCATCTGTGTATTTTAGTGTTCTACTGACAGTAGAAAATTCTCTCTTTGTTTCTTCGTTTATTTTGATCTCTCTCTTATCTTGCCATAAAGTAAACTGGTTACTCCTTCTCTTGTCCCTCTGTATATGAGAGACTGTTTATTACTCTTCCCTTTGAAGGAAAAGTATTTATTACTCTTCCCCACAATCTTCTCTTGGCTATAGTAAAATTTGTCATCTCTCTTAATGGGCCATGTTTTCTATGCCAAATGCTCATTTTTCTTGCCATTTTCTTCTGAGCTCTTTCCAAGTAGTCTTCATCTTTCAAGAAGAGTAGTGCCAAGGACATAGTACAACAGACATCCCTTCTGATGCTGGAAGGAAAAGAAGCTTTCCATGCCACGTGGAAAGCTTCCATGTAAAATTTCCAGTATGAAATTCACTCTTTCCAACAGCTTTGCCCTTTGTTGCTTAATATATTATTTTTGACTATCTGGAACATCTAGCTCATTTCTTAAAAAAATAAAAATAAAAAAGGCTTATTTGCTGGTTTGGTTATCACTACTGAACTGCTGAAGTTCAGAAATGCTGCTCTTTGCTTCACTGAAACTGCACGTTATTTATTTCAGTGCATTAAGATCACTTTGATTTCTAGCCCCCATCTGCCAACATGCTATTATACCTTCCAGCTGTTCTCATTTGTCAATTTAAAAAGTGTACAAGCTATTCCATCATCTAGGCCATTTGTGATAATACTGAATAGCATCAGATTAGCAAATTGTTACTGGAGTTTGTCCTGAAGCAGCCCTTTGCTCTTACTAGGCAGCTCTACCGTGAGGTAAACAGCAGCGCAGACTGAGCCACGTGGAGGCATGGTACGGCAGCAGCTTATGGCTCTAGATTTTGAGTTTGCTGTACCTAGCTAGGAGCCAAGATTCATGTCTTTAGGAGGAAAAATAACAATTTTCCTGTAGGAAAGAATTGAAACTTGCAATGTGTGATTGCGAGGCATTAAAAGAGGATGGATTAGCCTTGGGAAAACTCAATGGCAGCCTGCATGTTCTTATCTGTGTTCAAGCTTTGTTGTTTTTCATAAATTTATAGTTTTGGTTGATACTGATGTATTTCAGAGATGAAAGGAGGAAGTTTTAGTATTAACAGGGAAAGAACACTTCCTCCATGATTTGGAAATTAGTCCTCGGTTGGAATATGAGGAAAATAAAATGTTCCTATGGGACAATTGTGAGAGCAGGCACTTCAGACAATTTCACTTTCAGCAAGTGAAAGCAGACAGGCTATGAGAGCTTTATATTAAGGAAATAGAGGTGTTGAAGGAACTAACTGGTGGTAAGCTAAGAAAAGTACCCATTTAATCACAGTTTGGGGCAGGAGATTGGATGTCGGCACTTCTGACACCAAGCGGGTTGGGTGCTGTGTGATGTGAAAGAAATTGTGCAGGGCCGTAAATGACACCAAGGGGTGTAGGGGAATTGTGCTGGGACATCTGAAACATAAACGGAAGTTAAAGGTATGTTGAGAAGTGACAACATGGTTCTTTGTATTTAAGAAGTAGAACAAATACAATATTAAAAAAAAAAATCTTTGCAGCACTATCTCTTCACTTTGTTTGTAGTTTGCAAGACCTTGAGCTCTGTTCCTCCCCCAGATACAAATGTCTGATTGGATTATTAATATTGCATCAACTTTAAGCTAGTTTGTTTAAGCCTTGAGTCACTAAATTTTATTTTTCTTAAAGCAGACTGTGAATTTCAACTGTTGGTTAAATACCAATGACAGTTTTGGAAATCACAAAATGCTCATTTGAGAGGGGGGCATGTTTTGGTGCCAAACCTATTATCTCCTCCTCATCTTCCCTTCTTGTGTCTTTACTCACATGTCTCTCTTGTTATATTTTTATTATTAAATTATCTGGGGAAGTAGGTTTTGTTCAGGGGTTGCATAGCAGCTAGCACAGTGATGTTCTGGCGTAGGCTACCAGGAGCTTCAGCTGTGCCATAGGCTGTAGAAGGAAGTCAGACAAGGATACACAAATGTAGTGTGCTGGACTGAACCTAATGGTAAATAAAAACTGTCAAATGCAGTACGACCAATATAATTGCCAACTTATTTAAAAACATTTTTTTTTTTTTTTTTTTTTTTTTAAAGAGAGAGAAAACAACACATACTTAAAGTTTTGTAAAGCCTTTCTGGGACAGCATTTCTGTTCCAGACATTACTTAATGAATGACAGTTTCAGTTACCTTCTCAACCAAAAGCCTACCAGTAATTGCCGTCCTGCTTGCTTTTGGCATTTCACTATTACATTTGCAGTTTTGTTGTCCAAGAGACCAGTTCTTTCATTGCTCTAATTCTGTGGACCTAGCAATGCCCCCATCTGAACATCAGTAAGATATTTTGCCTTTTAAGTGCTTCAGCTTAGAAACAGAATTTGAGCAATTGCAGATAAGGGGGACTGGGACTATAAAGCAGTTATTTCTAGCAAGCTCATAAGCCATGACTTAATACCAAGTGGTAATTAAAATTACTTGATTACTTGGCAGGAAGTTTGAAACCAGCACAGGGAAACCCTCTTTCACGTGATATACACTTCAGTTATGGAAGTTGTTGCAGGCAGTGGATTCACAGGAGGGTTATTAAATGGCAGGGACAGATGTATCTCAGGCAGTCCTCAACTACTAGGATTCAGAAGTTAGATGGAGAAGTTATTTCACTGTAAACATGCATTTTTGTTGTTTGATTGATTGATTGTTCTAATAGATCTTCCCAAGAAATCTTCTAATTTCTAGTAGAAACTCTTAAGTGTGGTGTGACCTATTTGGATCTGGTATCCAACCCCACTACAGCCACTGTTATGGAGGTAGAAACTATTTGTGCTGGATAACTCCTAGTTTGTGTTTCTAGGATAACAGTGTTGGGAAGCTTCAAGCGTCACTTGTTTATTGCAGGAAGGTCTCCGAGCTCTTTGTTCAAGTTAATGAACTTCAGAAAAACAAATTGATCTGTGATGATTTTGAAATCAGATTGAGAGTATGAGCAGAAGAACGGGTAACACTGTCCAAACTATTTGTACGTGCATGTTCTTCTCCATCATCAATTTTACGCAGGATAACTTTATTATGTAGGATAACTTTAGATTCTGTTTAGGTGAATAAGTTACTTCTAAGTTCATAGGAGCGAGGGCTTTTGCTGGGTTCATGACATCACACAGGCAGTCATTCATACTTACCTCTCCTCATCAGGCTAATGGTTTGGACATAGAGCCCCACGCAGTAAGAACAAGTGGACTCTTGGCTCTATCTGTATCTACAAAATAAGGCACAGGATGCCTCTGGCTTGCACCAAACCTCCCATTGGCCAGGCTGGAGAGAGGCTCCTTATTTTCCCTTAAAATTCCCTTCTTTCAGCCCGAGTAAGCTCAGTTTGTCTCCTTGTTGCAGGTGAGACAACCCAAACTAGTCCATCCACCCCATGTCTACAGCTGGGGATGGGGAGGCAAACAGGGGATGAGGGTGGGCTAAGACAGGGTTTTAACGAATTCTGTGCTAGGTCATGAAGATCAGGACAGCTTGAAGGCTACAAAGTACAGTTCCTGGAATCTGCGATTTTTTTTTTCTGCTGTGTTTAATTGTTTGTCTTATGTTCAGCCCAATCACAAAAGAGAACATTCTCTCTGCTGAAGGTTAGAGTCCTGTGATATGTTTCTGGGATGGACAGAAGCCTTTCTGTCTGACACTTTCATGCTATAAAAATAAGCAATCAAGGAAACAGAGAGAGAAAGAGGAGAGAGAGAGAGAAAGAAAAGCTCAAGGGCATGCGCATGCTTCTGGCTTTCATAGCCTTGCTCAGTCATCCATGGCATGAACAGCAACTTGTGTGCATGGTTACATCTGCCTTTACATGGCTCTGAGTGTTCAGCAGGGAAAAGATGGTGCATTTTGAGAAAAAGGTAATACCATCAGTTAAACTCAGGGTTATGTTTTGCTTCAGATCTATTTGCATGGAGGAGCTTTTTCCATCAAGATTCCTTTACAAAGGATTATACTATAATAAAGAGATGGCAAAGAATCAGAGCATAAATGCCACTCAAACCACTCAAAGAATTTGGTCCTTACAGTGAGCATCAAGTTTGAGCAGCATGGCAGATGCACAAAGACCCATTTACTTCCCCATCAGTTGTAAGGGTGTCTGCAGCCAAGCCTTAGGGCTCTTTCAGTCTGTGCTGTTGTCCACATTGCCAATGGACAATTTAATAATCAGGTGGTACGTCAGGCTTATTTTTTTTTCCTCTTCTTCTCTGTTTATCATTACATACTTGTGAGGCCTTGCTGAGCTCATGTTAAGGCAGCCAGTAAGATGAATGAGTGATGGGACCAATCAGTTGAGAGGGCCTCAAATGGAGAGTCTGGACATGCTGGAAATACTGGAGGTACTCCCTAAATTGTGTCAGTCTGGCTGATTTGTTTCATCACTGAAACTTGTCTGCTGCTGAATCAGAATGGGAGTTTGTATAGCTCTTGGTTCAGACAGTATCCTCAGCTAGATTTTGAGGGAGATTAGTAACCCTGAACAAATTAAGGGTAGCATTACTTCCCAAATAGGGAGTTAATGTTTTGTTAAGCACAGAGTTTAAAAGGGCTCTGAGACTTCAAAGTCCTTCCCCTACAGGGCAGGCAATGTAAAGGTTGCAAATCAGAGACCATTGCTGTGGTAGTTTATTATTCTCTGGGCCCCACAGGAGAAATTAAAACTGCACAAGAAAACAGACAGTAAATTCTTTGAGGTTAAGTGTCCAATATTTTCATGTGTCCTTGTTTGTTTGTTTGTTTTTTTGGTTTGTTTGTTTCTTTGTTTTTTACTGCATTCACACTCTTTCTTTCCTTTTGCCTTGAGAAAAAGATAACAAAGTTTGATTTTGCAGTGGATGTTCAGGCTGGATGTTTCAGCTAAAGGTATACAGAAATGACAAGCTAAGCCTTCCTTGCCCGTGCCTTTGAGATCTGCAAAGGGGGCAGGTTATATTACAATGTTCGTAATATATTTTCGAACATTATATTACAATGTTCGTCACATTTTTCAGTGCTGAATTCCTGATGTATTCACACCAGTGCCCAGACTTCACCTTCATCTCTACTTGCCTGCGTCCAGAGCAGATGTACAGACAGATGTGTGTGGTGAGGATTTTACATCCTCTGTCAGCTTTTACATCCAGAAGGAAGAACACCTTGACCTTCATGATGGGGACACCTCAGTGGTGTCCCGCTTTCCTTGTGGCCCAGCTGTATGAGAATACAGTTCTAAACTAATATTTGCATAGCCTGACATACAGCATCTAACTTAGCAGGGTATACATCCCATCACCCACGTGCTACATCACATGGAATTTTTTTTTTTTTTTTTTTTTTTTTTTTACAATTTTTTTGGTGATGCCACTACTGTTAAGTGACTGGAACAGCTGAAGCCAGCACACAGGCACTGCTGCCCAGGGCAGGTCTTGCAGAGAGTGGATGCTCTGGGGTCACAGGGGCCCCAGAGCTTTGTTTGCAGTAAAACTGAGCATTAACTTTTTTTTTTTTTTTTTTGGAATAGGCTGGCAGGCACAGAAGAAGTGCACACTAGTTACACGTTACTTCATACTGTGTTCGGCTGATGATTTACCAGAATTGAGTAACATTTGTCAACAAATGAGAGTGAAACATCTGCAGGAGGAAATAAAATCAAGAAATTGTCAGGAATTAAACCACTGGAAAAATAACAGGAGATTTATATGGCTATTTTTACTTGTTTTACTTAATCTGTGTGCATGTTTTGAAAATAAGCATATTATCTGAAAGCCTTTAACAAACCTTGTTCAGTCTGCCTTAGAGATATGTTCTCTTTCCCATCCCCTTCCCTTTCCTTTCCTTTTCCATATGTTTCACTTTTTTAAAGTTCAAAGTATCTTGATGTTCTGATACAAGGGGTTGCAGGTTACAAACCCACTTAAACAATTCCTGATTTAAATATTGAATATTTTTTTTATTCACACACAGGCCTCTCATTGACTTACTCCTGACACCAGCCTGAGTCCCCAAACAGCAACTAGTGGAAACCTTGAAGGAAAAAGCACAAAAAATGTATGATACGGGACAAAGCAGGTATCTCAGTCATTCTTATTTTGATTGAAAAAATAATTAAAAAAAAAAAAAAGGAGAGCCAAACCCACATGAACTTATTGACCTTTGTGCCAAGGGAGTTGCTGTAATTATGGAATAGCAGGGATGGGCTGAGGGCTAAGGAGGAGAATTTGGGGGTTGGCCTGTGCAGTGAGGTAAGGTTATAAATTAGGTGGCTGCAGTGGATTTGGGCAAACTAACGGAGCATATTCCCCAGAGCACAGCTCAGCAAGTTTGGACATTGGAACTATGAGTGGGTGCCCCTTTGCAGGGAGCAAAAACCTGTGAGTCCCTCTTCTCTCTATTTTGCTTTAAAATATATAACTTTATATTAAAGTTTGGAGGAGAATTAGGGGTTATCAGCAAATACACTGATGTAGCTCTTGCTAAGGGAGAAGACATTGTACAAGGGCTTTTCAGAGCATGCTACCAGCTGTTACTGTGGCAAGATGCATGCTTGGTGCGCTGTTTTTCTCACAAGACTGCTTTAGTGGTTCATTTTGCTCAAAACAAGGCATTGTTTGAATTTTAGATGCATCTCAATAAAAAGGCAGGCATAGTCGTAGATCCCTAATTAAATAGTTATTTGCTTGTTTTTCTTCTTAGATTTAATTTTAGCAAGCTATCTTTGGAAGAGGAAAAAGATGACAAATCACAAGAAGGGATGAATAAAGCCAGCAAAGGTGGACTTATCTATGGAGACTACCTACAAGTAAGTGCAAGGATTTGATTTTTACTGCCCTGGTCACTCTGAAGGTTTGAGCCAGGACTTGTGATTGACGCTTCTCCCTGTTGTGCACTGACAGCAGTCAGGCAGTCACCAAGGCAGGTCTCAAAGTGCCCTTTCCCTGCCTGAGTTCCCAGGTATACTTGCAGCACCAGTGCCTGACTCAGCCGAGATGGTTGCAGGCAGACTGTGGGATGGCTTCTCAAATTGCAAGGAAGCTGGGTATTTAGGGGGGTCAATAGGAAACTGCTTGTTCTGGCAAACCTCGGCTGTGAAGTGGTGCAACTCAAAAGGCTTTCACTGGCCTGACAATTGCCAGTTGGCAATTTCTCTACATGTCAGCAGGCCATGTGTAACTTCCCAGATTATTACGTGAAAGCCCAGAATATTTGGCTGGAAAAATACATTGCAGTACTCTTGGGTGCGATACAGAAAACAATCAAACAAACAAACAAACAAAAATCACTAAAAGTAATTAAGAAATATGCAAAAATCAAATGACATAAGTAATAATATAATTCAGACATTTCCTTTTTTTTTTTTTTTCTGATGACAGCAAGAACTGAAGTGAGTGCCCAAAAGATTTATTTGTTGATGTATGATACAGAACCTTGCAAAGATTTCTTTTAAAGCAACTAAGATTGTGAATTTGACTGAGTAAAAAATCAGTAACACCAGAACTGAAATAACTAGTACAGCCTCAAATCAGAGCTCTTGCATGGTTATGCTATTACGTGATTACACAGAATCTTACTATAGGACTTACGCTGCACTGAACATGACAGTATTGACATAAGGTCTGGAGAACACACTGGATATTTGTTTCTCTCTCTCTCTCTCTTTTTTTTTTTTAATAATTAAAAACTCTTAAGATAGTTTTCAAATTTTCCTATTTGATGTACCAAATTGTTATTTTCAGGCAAGGTATTTTTAAAATTAAAAGATAATGCCTGAGACCATTTAGTCTAACTTCTCATATAACCTAGTATATTTAAGAAAAAATATTTTAAAATAAATATTTTTATTTATTTATTTATTTATTTATAAATTTATTTAAAAATATTTTTTCTTAAATATTAGCTCTACATAGTAGGACTATAGTACACTGTGGCTAATAGCAGAATTGAGAACTTTACAAATAGCCTTATTTTCATTTTTAAGCTGAACAAAATACTGAATGCTCAAGAGCTTCAGAGTGAAAAGAAAGGAAACAAAATCCATGATGAACATCTTTTCATTGTGACACATCAAGGTAAGTGGTTGGGAGGACTGAAGTGATGGTTGTCTGTCATTCTTGCCACAGGGAGTTATTTAATGCTGAAACATACTGCATGATTTTTTTTCACTTTAGACATAGCCACTACAATCACTCTGTCTTTTTATCTGCATTTGTGTGTATCCCTGTATCTTTTGTAAGGCACTAATCCACTCTATGCTTACGAAGCCACAATTATAAAATTTGGATGTGGAAAACCAAAAGCTCAACAGTTCTGTTTCTAGAGAAATTAAGGTGGGAAAATTCATTCTTGGCTTGAATAAAAGGCTGCTCTGCAGTTTATTGTAGTCAAGTCTTGTGTGTTGGCTTGTGCCTTCTCTGAAACTTCAATCCAACTGTTTAACCATCACGAGGCTTTCTAGAAGCCAGCACAATGGTTAGGTGCTCCCTAACTTCTAATATCAGACCAGTGTCTGCAAGCCATGTGGATAATATTTTTCTGTTGTTGATGGGAGATATTTAGATGGCATTAAGATTGTAAGCAGCTCTGGGGAATACTGTAAGCAGAGGGGAATGCCGTAATGCTTTTAATGAAGTATTGGAGCTGAATTTTCTCTTTCTCCCTTTTGTAATCTGTATTCTGCACATCTAATAACTGACATGAAAAACATGCCTTAAAATTTGTTTACATTCTGGATGCTAGATTATTTCATGTAATAGTTTTGGTGACAGACAGCATACTTGAACAGGCAACACATTTGTGTATCAGTGCTTATTTATACAGTGGCATTGTTCACTTTACACTATTTTGCTATTCACTTTACTACCCACTTTACATCAAAATCTGAGAATTTTACTTCATTGCTATCAAGAAAAAAAAAATGTTGAAGATAATGCTAACAATATCCTTCTTGTTGTAGCTTATGAACTTTGGTTTAAGCAGATTCTGTGGGAATTGGATTCCGTTCGGGTGATCTTTCAAAATGGCCATGTAAGTCAAGAGCAAATATTCATTTTGGGAAAATCCAGTCCCCTCTTTCTCTTGTCTCTTTCTTGCCGGCCTGATATATATGTTTTTTTCTAAATCAACACGTGCTGTATTTATATATAAAAACAGTGCACACCCCATCCATCTCACACCTCCACCCCAACCCAAAAAATTTCCTCCTGATGTCTGCCTTTTACATAGATCACTCTCCAAGACCAGTTTCATTGGCTAAAATTCTCTCATACTTTCCTGCTAATAGTGGATAATTGTAGGAGCTAACATGGGTATATTTTACTGCAGAAAAGCCATGCTCATAGGCAAAACTGAAAACAGAGCTAACATGTATCTTAACATTGAAATGTCACTTCTGCATTTCTTCAAGTTTTTGAAGTCTACATACCATTTTCTTCTATCCAATAACTACTATATGAAAGCAGAACTCTTTTTGGTAGTTTAGTTGTATTAAATCCAACAGAAAGACAATAATCAAAATCACAATGTACAATTGTCTGAGAATTTATTAAAATGACAAATATAGAAGAATATTTTTAAAGTTCTAAACATTTATCCAACATTAAACACACCTCATAACTAGATAACGAAGGAAGACTCCTCACCGAGTATTGTACTCACAGAAAAAAGGCAGACTGCATGTATTTAGAGAAATGCCTTGAATACCTTGAATAACAACCAGAGTACCTGTATGTGAAGAAAATCTAGAAGTAGATCAGACTTTCTTTCACAAAGAAGTAGCCTTTTCCTTATAATGCTCAATGAGAATGATCTTTCTTGTCATAATTTTGTTGGCTTTTTAGTTGAAAATTGTATCAAAATATAACTGACCATAATCGTATCTCAATAGAATCATTTCTCATTATTTATTTTTGTGATAAATGATTGCTGCCTTATAATCAGAATCTGAAATGTCAGTGTTAAAGTTGAGCACACAGCAAGATGATTACGGAAATGGTTTTCATTTTTCATTTTTGTAGTTTGATATTTCCTTGTTGTGTGCCCTGGTCTTAGAGGTAAACTTGATTCAATTAAAATTAATAGGAATTTTAGCAGATTTCCCTTGAGCCAAAGCATTCAATTTATCCTTAAGAGTTCCGTTGTTTTCCATTTCATATTTTGTATTTCCCAATAGATGCTGTTTTTTGTTTTCTTCTGCTTGCTAGTGCAAGTCTTTGACAAGCATCTGTTTAGATGTTCTGTCCTGATATATCTCAGATTATTCTGCTTTTCAACTTCAAGTACTTTCTGCACTTGCCTTATGGCTTGTTCTCTCACAATATAGATTATAGAAATGTTTATAATAGAAATCATAATTATCATGTTGTAATTTATATCATTAAAATCATATTATAATAATTGTTTATTCTAGAAATGAGTTTGGTCTAGAATTTAATTTCTTGTGATGACTTTTATTTTAGTCAAAATACATGAAAGAAAAAAAGTCCACTTTGTAATGTGTCATTGTGGAGAGAAAAAAAGCTTTTGATCTTTGAAAATCACACTTTCAGTTTTCAGCTAAAAACAGGGCTTTATACTCAATATAAAATTCTGCTACTATGGATTTCACATGGAATGGACTTGGGATCTATAGTGATGCACAACAGTGGAAAGACATGAAATAAATAGGTAGAAGGTAAAGAGAATACCATTCTCTGTCTGTTTACGGTCTTTATTTTTTATTAAGGTAAGAGATGAGAGAAACATGCTGAAAGTTATCACTCGAATGAACAGAATTTCAATGATTCTGAAATTACTTGTGGAACAGTTCTCTGTTTTGGAAACTATGACTGCATTGGACTTCTTTGATTTCAGGTAAATACTTACTATATTTCTCCACAGTAACCCATGAGCTAGTAATTCTCATCCTTAGAGTAGGCTGTGAATTTAAGCAAGGTCTTTAATGTGCGCTGGCAGCTTCCAGTACCTGGATTGTTCAGCAAGGTGAGAACATGTCTGAGAAGTAGCTGTTATATTACAGTACAAGAATCAACTAAGAACCTGAGCTTGAATACCCAGCATAACCTGAATAGTCCAGCATACCCTGTAATGAAGTACAAGTTAACTGTTGGTGGTTATGTGTGTTACTGATAAATGTCTTCAGATAAAAATAAAAAGAATAGCAGAAACAGTAGAAATAGCTCTTGGTTCTGTTAACACCTTACTAGAAACTTACCACTGCACAGTTGCAGCCATGTTCTATGACAAATCATAAAAGTGTTTGGGTGACAGAAATGCACTCTCTGTGTATTATCAAACAGATACTTAAACTGTCTTGCTTAGGACAGTGTTTCATTGCATCTCAATGTGGGCATGCAGTGCTGGAAGCTTCAAGTGGCTGAAGGAAACATTGCTCTCTTCTTATTTCTGCCCAAGAATTTCTGCTCTCCAGTAGCTGCCCAAAGTATTGTCGCACCAGCTGGTTGGTAGCTCATCTGCCTTCTGCTCAGGCTTTATTTGGGATCAATTGTTTTGCCTCATTTCTCACCTGGCATTTCCTCTCGCTTCCCTCACCACAACTAGCTGCTTCCACTGCCATGCATGACAGCTTCATCCACAATCCACCATCTGCCTTTCTGCTTCCGTTCTGCTTGTGCCCCTGAACCGTCTGACTCATGAACATAGTGCTGTCCAACATCCCAACCTTTTTGTACCATTTGTACCATTTTCCCTCTGTCTTTTAATGGTCCCTAACTAAAAAGCATGTGAAACTACAATTTGGCTTCCTGTGGAAGTTTGAAATATCTGTCTTCTACAGCGAGGGAAATACATGGGCTAATCATTTCTTTTGAAGAGTTCTTGCTTCTGATTTTTAATGACACACCATATGTAATATAATAAGCAAATATAAGATCAGATCAATTACTTGTTTTTCCAAACCTTAGAATTTGCAATTCTAAGTGCATTACCATTATCTAACGATGTGGGATTTCAGATTATTTTTATATATCAGTTCTTCTAAAGTGGTCGCACAATTTAACCCAGAAAGAATCCTATTAATGAATCCTTCAGAATAATGTTCAGAAAAAGATTTAGTAGATTTTTATTTATTTCATTTTTTATTCATTTCATATTGATTTATTATTTATTTCATATTTTATTTCATATCTTATTCATTATTTATTTCATATTTTATTTCATATAAATATGAATAAATGAAATAAATAATATTAATATATTTATTTATTTCATACATAGCAATTATTCTGAAGTATAACAAGCCTACTTAAAGGCCATTTACTGGTACTTGAGTGATGTGGAAATTTCCCTGATACCTATTTGGAGTGACACTGCTTATGCTATGTGGAAAGAAAATTATTTTCACTGATGTTTTCTCTTGTACAACATGTGTACATACACACACAGCTGCAACTTTAAAACACAATATAAACATTAGTGAGTATATGTCTGTGTGTATAATTTTATAATTAGAATATATTATACAAATGTTATAGTTGCACTAAACTACCATTTTTTTCTTAATTGGAAGCATACCATAAATGTTTGGCCACGTATTTGATATTCTTCAAATGTGAAATATGCCATTCATTCTTTAGGTGAGAACCAGAAAACCCCATTATTGTAAAATAATATCCTGCATTTTTTTTGTTTTTCTCTTCTACTCCCCAAGAGACTACCTAAGCCCAGCCTCAGGTTTTCAGAGCCTGCAGTTTCGCTTGCTAGAGAACAAGATTGGTGTTCCCCAAAGCCTGAGAGTCCCCTATAACAGAAGGCATTATCGTGATAACTTCAAGGGACAGGATTATGAATTACTGCTTAAATCAGAGCAAGAACCAACACTTCTGCAACTTGTTGAGGTAACAAAGTCTGTCTGAGAACTTGCTTTAATGTTTTCCCCTGTTCTCCAAGAATGTCCTTCATTGGTATCAGCGACAAATTCTTCTCTCTGGATAGAAGCAAACATGCTGGCAGCTTCCCAATGAATCACATTTTGTATGCTTATCAAATTTAGTATGAAGGAGTTGGTATGAAAAAGAGTTAGTAAGCCAACTGATTTTTTTCACAGCTTCTGCCTGAAAAAACTGCTAAACTAGTATATGGCATTGCAGAAATTTGAGTTGTCCAAGACTGTAAATGTACTGGTTTGTTTGAGTTTTTCATGACCACAAACCCTTTTCAAAAGAAAACTTTAAAAATACTTTCACTGTTAGTGAGCTGTAGTAAAGAGGCTAAAAACCAGAACATGAAAAATGCCAACCCAAAATGGAAAAGAGAAAAGATGTTTTAACAAGTGTTTCTTTCTCACTTACCTTGATTTAATGGTGTTGCCTCTAAGTTATGAATCACTCAAACATGGTGATTTCTTTAACCCCCTTTTCCTTTTCACACACAAACTTAACTTGCTAAAGAATAATGCAATATAAACCTCAATAAAAACATCTACCTCTATGTGACAAAATTATTCTCTTATTGGAATGATATGGAGTTATATGGAATCATTCCATTCATCTATTGACACCTGAATATATAAGAAACTCATGTAACTTTTCTTCATTAAGACTTTGTGCTATTAGATAAGGAGTAGCTAAATTAAATTATCTCTAAAGGTAGTTCGACCATACAGATTCCCCGTCTTTTTTTCTGCTAAACATTATTGAAAGGAAATCAGAGAGGAGGCTTTTCTAACGCTACATAAATTTGTCTTGTGTTATTGCATATTTTGGTGTAAGCTAATGGCAGATGGTGTGATCAGCGTTCAGCCTGACCTGATAAAAAATGGTTGTACTAGCAGATGGTTCTACATCTTCCTTCTGAGATTTATCTTTATGTTTATCATAAATATGTGGAATAAGACTGTATTCCTGTGTCTACAAAGGAATTGATTTTAACAAGACAGCTTTTGTCTTCCAACAGTAATCTTTTAATTTGGAACCTGTGGGTGTGTTTGCATGGCATCATTATATAGGTATAAAACTTCCATGTAGACATGCTTATTCCAGTGATTAGTACCTATACACGGGTTATTATATTATCCTGTTACAGTTGTTCTGGTTTATGTTGTAATTTTAGGGTAATATATTTGCATTATTAATACTTGAACACATTATTATTATTATTATTATTATTATTATTATTATTATTATTATTATTATTATTATTTATTAAAGGCATGGCTGGAAAGAACTCCAGGACTTGAGGCAGAAGGATTTGATTTCTGGGGACAATTTGAAGTGAACGTTTTAAAAGGTTTAGAAGAGGAATTTGCCATAGTGCAGGTTAGTAGTGTTCTATTGATCCAACTATAACAAAAGACAGCTGGAAAATCACACATTTTTGACTGGCATTTTGGCCCAGTCATGGTTTTTCACTCATTTTACTTAATCTTCGGCAGCCTGTGTTTACAAGAAACAGGAAAATTACAAACTTTTCCTGGATATCTGAATACATTTATAATTTGACATCCAAGAACTCTTAAAATATCTAATACATGAAATGATTGCAAAAGAAAAGGGAAAGTATCAATGGAAGGTCTGAAATCCATTTTACTTAAACTATGTCACCTTGAGTGCTTGTATTTGCAGTTCAGAGTGAAACTCCACAAAGTTTGGGTCCATGACCTGTGAGTATAGAGTGTCACTATAAAGTGGCTATTTTTATTTAACAGTATATGGCACTTTGCTGCTGTGTGATCATTTGAGTTACACTGGCAAATAAGCACGAGAAAATACCAAAATACTGTGAAGTAGGTATAAGTACATTTTTAATGAAAAAACACCGTAACATAAGAACTCATTAAGTTCTTGGGAATATTTTTACACTTTTCTAATTTACCTAGCCTTTCTATATACAATTTTCTAACCCATAGCTGTGCAAAGGTGTTTTCTTTTTGCCTTGAAAATGAAGAACTAAAATAATTAGGTCTCAAACAAATTAATATTAGTTGTTCCAAGGCCTCTAGACCTAAAGAAAAATGATAAACTGCCAGTTTGTTTGCACATTCATTCATCTGAACTGTTCTGACAGCTTATTAATTGCACATTTTGTGGCAATTGTGTTTTTAAAGGACAGTGACTCAGTGACTTGTCTATCTTCTTTGGAAAATATACTTCATGCATTTAAAGTGTAAAGTTGAAGGGTGTTTAGAGTAAAAACAGAAGTTACATCAAGGCTCACTAAGGGCCTGATTTCCCCTACTGAATTCTAAAAACTCCATTTGCTTTAAATATTAAAGGCCAAACCAGAATCAGAAGAAAAAGAAGACTTCTTATCTGAATTCCAAAAACAGAAAGATGTATTACTTTCATTATTTGATGAAAAACGGCATGAACACCTGCTTAGTAAAGGTATGTTCATATATTCATATATGCTTTGGGTTGTTTTTTTTTTTGCATACAATACATACAGAATAATCACATCAAGAATCAGCAACAAACTAAAGATGGTTGTATTTTACAGGAGAAAGAAGACTGTCTTATAAAGCACTGAAGGGTGCCCTGATGATCTACTTCTACAGGTAATGCTAGAAGATTTGTCTTCAGTGCTTACTGGTAACAGGAGAGGTGAAGGTTAAAGACAACAACATAGGCTCATTTAGGTTGGAATGGACCTTGGAAAGTCCTCTGGTCCAATCCTACACCAAAACCCAGGGCCATATAGTAGATCCAACCTGAAAGTCAGATCAGGCTGCACAGGACTGCATCCTGTTGTGTTTTGAATACCCTCAAGGATGGAGGTTCCACTGTCTCAGCAGGTGTTTCTCCTCGGGCCCAAACTAGCAAATGCCCTGTTCAGGCTGTTACACAAAGTGACCTAGAAAGTTTTAGATTATTTTTCCAATGAAGGAAAAAGGACAGATTAAGACTTACATGTAAGAAGTATTTGTTAGAATATCTACTGGTATTTCAATACTGATTTAGGAAAAATATACATTGAGTGTACATTTTGCATTGCTGTTTTGCATTGCTGAAGTGGTATTTTGAAAAATAAAGCACATTATAAGAGATCTTACTGTTTCCTCTTTCATTTTCCAAGAGAGGAGCCTCGTTTTCAGGTTCCCTTTCAGCTTCTTACCTCTCTTATGGATATTGATGTGCTCATGACCAAATGGAGATGTAAGTTGCAATTTTTTTACTCCGATATTCTTTTAGATGCAAGTAAATTGTTCTATTTCATACTTTCTTAGACTAGTTATACCCAGAGTTTTAGAACCAAACTTCTGAGTTCTTCCTTTAAGGATATATATATATATTATTTTGGCCAAGAAGAAAGATGAACAGCTTCCTCTGTGGTCGTTAGACACATAGGTAGAGCTATCAATTCTATTACATGCTTTAAATTAGGTGAGCAATTTTAAGGTGCAGCAATTTATTTTCCAATGCCTTCCAAACCCTCATCATGACAACTCTTCACATGCAAACATTCCTTCTGTTCTTTCTGTACTTAGACAACTATAATTGAATGTATTAATTCTGTACGAGCAGAGCACAATGATGTATAATAGTGTATTAATTTTGTATTAACAATCATTTTATGTTAGTTGACTAAAGAGTGGCATAATTTACCCCTGCATTGCTTAAAACCTAGTAGCACATCTCTCTGTGATCTTTAATATTTCAATGATTCACCTTGATGTGACCTTTTGTTTCAATCTTAACACTGGCTATTTGCCATGCCCTTGGTTTGTGTGACTTAGATAACCATGTCTGCATGGTGCACAGAATGATTGGCAGCAAGGCTGGCACAGGAGGCTCATCAGGCTACCACTATTTGCGCTCAACAGTGAGGTAAGAATAATGTATTTTCCCCATTACTTACAATAACACAGTTTGTAGGCATTGTACTGCCAGGAGACAGATTTCAGACAGCTCACTGGAGGTTAGGGGGCTGTTGTTTCTCTTTTGGGGCTCTGTCATTTCCTTCTCTTTCTGCCTGTTGTGCATTTACTTATCAGGTTGACATACGTAAACTCAAAACCTTCTGGGGTTAAAGGGCTTTGATCACTCATGCAAAATGCCATTTATAAGTCTCAAGCAAGGGATCTAGGCATTACCGTAATAGAAATAATATTAATTCTGCATCGTTTAGCTCGTGCGCTATCCAGCCCAAGTTAATTAGGTGATACAGGTTGGAAATGAGTCCCGTCTGCTGTGCAGCTAATGACATTTGCTTTACTCCTTAGAATGACTCTAAGTATATAAACTAAGGTACTGAAATTTAGGATTTAATATATTCTGAAAGCTGATATTAATTAATACCCTCTAGCTGTGCAGGCAAAAAATCAGAAACATGTTTCCTTCTGTTGGATGAAGCAGAGAGAAAATTTAAAATTCCTCTTTTAATGGATGGTTTGGGCCTGAATGCAGAATTCTTACACAAAATTTGAGAATTCAGCTAGTTTGGTTTGAGCTTTTTAGGCTCAAATGTGTCCTCATTATGTCCCAAACCACATTATGTCAAAGAACAAAAGAACACTTGAAATATCTTCTAAGAAGACCTTCTTTTAGGATTGTTTTCAAATAGAAATAGCACGCAGCCAGTGACTGGCATCTATAGCTGTGGGCAATGATTCCTATCTAAAATATTATAATACAGTGGGGGAAAGAAAGTAGGCAGGTTATATTGAATTCAGTGAAGATGGCTTAAAATTCAGGGTTCATTTTCTTTTCAACAATCCTTTTCACTTTTTCTGAATTTCAGGTTAACATTCTTCACAGATACATTCCCCTTTATACCTACTACAAGAGTGGAGATTTGGAGGTTAGAGCCCCTGTAGTCTGCAATTTTAGGAGAAAGATGTGGATATTTCCCTTTAAATATAATTTAATCTGCTCTGCCCTAGAAATAGTACAGGACTTTTATTCTGAAATATTAAGGAGAAGGATGGTTAGTGCAGAAATCGTCAATAAATGAGAGGGAACAATTCCTGAGGTTTTGGAAATTATGGCCTCCTATGCCAACACAGCAATATTAATTGTTTCAATTATCTTTTTCAGTGACAGATACAAGGTGTTCGTGGATTTGTTCAATCTTTCAACATTTCTAGTGCCAAGACACTGGATACCCAAAATGAATCCAACTATTCATAAATTCCTTTATACAGCAGAATACTGTGACAGCTCCTATTTTAGCAGTGATGACTCTGACTGAACCTTTCTAGACTGTGGTTGCTGTGAAGAACTTGAGAACTTCTATCTTGACTGGTGCTATCCCTCAAGTATAGCAAGTGTTCTCATGCAGCATGGGTGTGTAAATATTTATTTATGTATGACAATTATGTGAATAGTATGATCTACTTATGGAAGAAACTTAACCGTTTGTAGAAAAAATAATCTGTATTGAATTACGCTATGTTAAAGCTAAAATGATAACCCAATTCAAATCAGTGGCCAGTTTAACTTAGCAGAAGTGTTGAAAATTGTTGAAAATACAGCCCACACTTATGGAAAGGGAGCAAATTATAATGAATTATCATGATCATGTCTTATTTGTACATATTTTTATGTGTTAGTTTGCCTAATGGCTTTTAGTAATTTAATTCTGCAAGTCAAAGATATAATTATTCTCATCAGCTTCAAAAGAAAATTAATTTCTGAGCAGTAGTGGAATTTCAAAAGGAATTTTGGGTTAAGATTTTCAAAAGCTATATTTTGAAAAAAATATTAAGTCTTCAATCTGTGGAAACCCAAACCTCCTGAATTGTGTTACATATGAATGTAAATTCCTTCAGTAAAAATACTTGCTTTTAAGAATAGTAGATATAAGTACTTACTTTGCACTTTAAATAAAGCTGTATTAAAGCTTTTCTTTTGTTAAGTTGTCTTCCAAAGCAAGCACAGTGTTCAAACAACAGTATGGCAGAAATTTTAAGTGATTTTATTCAAAATATCATTGAAATAAGAATAAAATTGATATATAAAAATGAGGTGACTTTGGCCATAAGGGTATTGATACATGTAGAGCTGGGTCGTCATCTCACTAGTGGACTCCCATCTGTATAAATGCTTTCCTTGGAAATATGCATACACTGCAGGCCTTAATTTCTGTTGAGTTGTTCTGTATAACAATGCTTTTTAGGTACTTAGGCCTGGTTGTACAGCTTCAAAAGCACAGATGAAACTTCTATGTTTGATACTACTATAACAACATTACTCTTATTTATGTCAATTTAGAACTTTAGCTGTTTTTTTCCAGTTTGGGAAACGTGCTATTTGTTGTTTGTAATCTGCTAAGGCAATACTACAGAAGACTTCTCCTTTTGGTTAATGTGAAGTTTTCAGCCAGCAAAACCTGGTAAGAAGCAGAACCTGAAGTAGTGAAACATAGTACTTAGTCTTTTCTTTTTTTTTAATTGAAAATAGTAGAAATCCTTCAAAGTAGAATGACTAAAAAGACATTATTTACACAGACAATTATGAACATTCATGGCATCCCTTACAAAAGGATTGTACTACAGAGACCTATTTAATATGGTACAATGAGTGCAAAAATTACAGAATTGCTTCAATACTTTTCCTAATAGCACTTCATTAGTGATACAGGTAAAGAATTCCTGATGACAGAACACTTTAAAAGTGCATGTTCAGTTTTCAATTCTAGTTACGTTTGTCTCCAACTGCAGTTATACAGGTTAGCAAATCTAGGACCACTCTTTGGTTCCCAGCAAGTCTCCTGTGAGTTCAATAAAGTTCAATAATTTTGTAGGAAAATTCAACATCTACCTTATTTGGAGGTATATTAATTGCTGTCTTTTTAAAGGTAGAATATATATCAACACTCTACTGCCATCATTTTTTCTATAATAGACAATTTCTATTGCATTTCTGCTTTGCCACTGGTTCTACTGTTAGTCATGATGTAGTGAAGAGACTTGTGGAACTGACACAGCAATTAAAAGACAGAATAGTTGATTTGCAAACACTTATGTCCTGTCAAGGCACAGGATTAAGCCACCAGAGGTGTCTTGTGTTTATTTAAATATAATTTCTGCTTGCTTTTCTATCCATCTAACAAATTAATTCAGAAGACTGTGATATTCCAGGCACTTTCTAAAACACCCCCTACTCCAAAGAGCTCTGAATTTATATCTACACAAGAAAGGTGCCAGACTGAAATGGAAGGACTGCAGCACTACACTGACCCTGGGTGCTCAGGAAACAACTCTGACTACCCATTCCCCTCCTCTTTTCTTCTAGCTTTAGAGACAATGTAGAATTTCACAAAAAGGAGGAAGACAAAATGTCTGAGTATCTGGGTATCAAAGCATAACAGAGAGAATGTTTTCTTCCAACCTCCCCTTTCCCCACCCAATAAAACCAGACATAATCTCATGTTCTATGTTCATGGATTATACTCCATCACACTGTTGATTCAACTTCCTTATTTGTCATCCATTTTTTCCTAACAAGATTTTTATGGAGTGTATTCTTCAGTATTGAGCACCTTGATAGGGTTTCACACTCACAGTTCCAATCCATCTTTTTAACTTCCTTCTGCACACTCTGTGGTTGATTTTAAGCCTTCTTATTCCATGAAAGATTTGATACACAATACACATTCCAAATAAAAACATTTCTAAAAACTCCTGCTACCCCATTCCTGTAACACTTAAAATCAGGACCTGCTCATAAAGTTGTTTCTTACTTTAGAAAAGGTTGCCTTGGAGTAAAATCTTCACATACAGTTTATGTCAAATGATTATGCAAATAAAGATCACTGTCTTTGGCCAGTGTCAAACAAATACTGATGAAACTGTATCTGCTATACCTGCAAGTGAATGAAAAACAAAAGAAAAAATGAGTTTGAGAAATAGAGACCTACCAGAAATAAGTTATCAGAATTGATATTCATGTTACATCCTCTCTCTTCCATATGTTGACAATATGGACAATAGGTAAATTGTTGGGGTGGGGGGCAGGAAAAAAAAAAAAACAAACAACAAAAACCGCTGCAACTCTTATTTCTTCATTGCCTGATACTATTTACAGTTGAGCTCTACCCTCCTCCCTTCTCTGCTTTCACGTTCAAAACTTTATTCTTTTTGAGGATTCAGCATTAATGATATTTGTGTGGTGAAAATCAATCTAAACCTTGATATCCTCTTCCCCTTCAATCATACGCATTAGTAATGGACATTATGTTATATGGTTTGGTTGAACTAGCAAACACTATTTTTCTACCTGAACTCATCTACCCTCTCTTAAAACATAGCAATGATTTGTATTTCCTCTGTGAGGATCCCCTTATATCACTTTACTTACATATAACCCGGAATATAGCCTTTACCAATTGCATTGTTTTCCATCAGACTTACCACAGACATTGCTGCCTATCTTCACACGAACATAACCATCTATTCCCCAGGTACGTCCCCAGGAGTTCTGTACAATCCAGTAAGGGATGCTACCTGGAAAAGACATTTTCATAAACAAGAGACAACATGAGATTTGGGAAGCATAGAAAAAATAATAGTCTAACACTCTTTGATTAGCATTTTCGTGTCTCATAGGATGCTGATTAGATGACATAGTACAGACAAACCTACTGTTGTTCACAGAGAAGACAGAGCTAATACACCAGTGTTTAATAGACTGGATATATCCTCTGCTAGGATAAAGACACAGATACCCGTGTTCTTGACTTTACAAGGACATGAAGTCCCACAGAACCAAAGGAAAAGAACAGCCTTTTTCCTGGGATCAGACCTCACTTCCAGAACTGAGGTGACACCAAATCAAACAGTTCTCAAAAGCGCAACCAGTTGAAGCATTATGGATTGTAATCACTTGCCCTACAGGAGGCCAAGTAAGAGAATGCAAAAACCTAGAAACTCAGTTGATGGAAACATACCTGTTCTGTCAAAACCCGTGATAAGTACAGCATGATTTGCTCTCCCACTGGAGCAGTGATACTGTATGATCCCACCAAGATAATCCTGCCAGCTAACTGCATCAACTGTTACTGCCAGAGGACCCCAGTTAACAAGCATCCTCATCATTTCCTCTTCCTGGCCACTGTGAAAGAAGTGAGTGATAATGCAGTTAAAGTTAGCATAATAATGCAATTTGAGAGGTAGTAATCGACTTACGTATGATCTAATAATCAAATAATTACTTTTCCCTGTGAGTGCTACACACTACATAACATACATCAATAAACATGAATTTTATTTACAACGCAGTAACATAAAAGTAGGGCACACACTATGGAAAAGGTGCTGATTAAAAGACACGATGCTATTTAAAAAGTCTGGGTCAAATTGATGGGCAACACTAAACACCACATACCTTTTATGCACTGTTCCTCTCAATTAAAAATCTGCTTTGGACAAACCATTAGTCAACATTGTTATTGCCCATTAATTTTCAAACATACAGAAGTACGTTTTACATATTTTAGTGCATTGTTATGTATGTTGTATCTCAAACACATCAAAACACAGGACATTGCCAGTAACAAATATTTGCCATTAGCATCTGCTTATGTAATGTATTATAGGAGGAAATATTTATCATTGCATGGTATCTGTAATAACTAAGTTTGGCATACACAGAGTGGCAAAGTTATAATTGGTTTTAGTTCCTTATATGTGGCAGTAATTGGCTTCCTGATTAAAATTACATATTTTTTTTCTTGTTCAGTACGCAGCTGTATTGTACTGATAAAAATTAAAAATGTTTCTCAGTACAAAAGCCTAAAAAGCTATGAGTTGCGTTTACAGAATTCAGTTGACAATACTGTTTGCTAAGTCACAGACTGGAGGAGGATGTGGGTATGTAAGCAGATAAATACTCAACTAACTGAATACTTCCTAAGTTTTTCAACAAATTCCGATTAAAGTCATAGGATATACTGTTACTGACTCATGGTTCCAATTTAAAGACAGACAATTTAAAAGACCTAATTTAAAGACACTCACTTAAGCTTTCTAACTTGAACATAATTAGTGGCTACAAATTATTAGTTGCTGTAGTACTCACCACATCCAAAGAAAGATACTTTTAAGAAAATAACTCATGTTTATTGCTAAGCCCTTATCTAGATCCTGAAACAAGCCTCGTGCATACCTCCGTATTAAGGGGAAAGGTTTAAACATTAACTCTTTAGAGTCTCTGAATAAGTACTCCTATCGTTAAGACTCCAACAACAAATACGAGTGCCTTCACAGAAAAGCAGGCCTCATCTCCTCCCACTGACTACAAAGTCAAAACTTTTAATTTTGTTATTTTGGCATGCAATTATTTTGGCACAAAATTCTCCATTTAGAGGTATCCTTGGGGTGCATTTTCCTTAAGAATACAGGAGTTTTTATTAAGCTTTGTTCACTTCATGATGCAAGTCTGACATTCCCCTGCCTTCAAAAGAAATGACAGTTCTGAAGGTCTGCTTATACATATGAAAGTACAATACTGGTAATAATTAAAACAAAACTACTATTCTCACTATTTTAAGAAAGAATCAAAGTCCCTTTTATGTAGGTGTAAAAATGCACAAAGGCATCTCCTGCCCCTGGGCAAAATCACCATCATCTGAATAGAGACAATCTAAATAGAGATGATATACAATTACTGAACCTGAATGAACAATAAGAGGCAAACTACCTCAAATGTGGAAATTCTAGCGGAGAAAACATAGGGGATGAGGAAAAATTGCTTATGCCATCCCTGGAGCTGTTTAAGAGGTATGTGTGTGCGGCACTGGTTTAGCTGTGGACATGTAGTGTTAGGTGGATGGCTGCACTTGACAATCTTGAAGGTCTTTTCCCACCTAAATGATTCTATGTTTTTATGATTTAGATGCTTTTA